TGGGAGGCCCTTCCCTCCCTGTTGAGCCGATCTCTGGATCAGGATCCCCTGACTGCTAGCTTCAGCAAGCCCCTCCCCTACGGTTTCTGTTTCTGTGTGGGAAGTTCATCCTCCTGTCTTGCTGGCATTCTATCAGGTGGGTTAAAGCTCATTTTGGAGAATGGCCCCAGAAAAAGATCTGAGAGGGAGTTGAATCTGCTTAGTCCCTCTGGGGGGCTCTTGCAGGGCCCCTTCCCCTCCGACAGCAGATTCAGGATGGTTCCCTGTCCCTGCACTCTTAAGCCTCCTGCTAACCCCTTTTTCCCAAACAGGAGCCCCACCTCCTCAGAGCAAGGGGCTGGCCTGTGCTATTTATGTCCTTTCTGGGATTCTTCTGAGAACGGATTCTTGTTTTCAGTCTGATTCAGATGTGAAACTTTTTTTGCAGCCTCTCACCCAGTTCTGGTAGGCTGGGTCTCTGCCTCATCACTCTCTTCTTCCTCCAGCCAGGCTCCTCCCCAGAGTTCTCTCTGGACAGTTGCTCAGTTCTGCTGGGACCTAGAGAAGGAAGTCAGGGGCCAAAGAGGGAGTTGTTCCCCCTTACGGGCCCTGGCCCTGGGGTCAGCATTTTGATACTCTGAAGTAGGAAACTTTGGTTCCCATGGCAAACCCTGTTCCTGTTCAGAGGATCCATCTTCAGGGCCCCATCCTCAGGTAGGTGCCAGGGATGAGGAGAGAAGAGGAGAGCGATCAAGACCTGACATCCGCAAGTGTTTTGTGAGTGTGCGTGCCAACTTCTCCACCTTTTACTCCATCTTGCCCTTCACCTATTCTCCTCCCATTTCTGTCTCCCTTTCCGTTGTATCACTTTCTCTTGACTATGGCAGGTGACTTGGCAGTGTCCCCCCTGCCACTTCCTGAGCCCCAGCACGCTTAGGACCTCACATCCCTTTGAAATTTCCTCATCTTGTCTTAAGAACCTACACCAGAAATAGAATTCTCCTCTTAGCCCCCTGGCTTGCAGCTGCCCTGTCCTAAGCCCCGTACTTATGGTGATCTTTTCCGGAGCATAGATAGGTACTGGAAGTAGTGAAAAGGGGCTTTGGAAATCCCCAGAACATCAGCCAAAGAAATGAACCAGTGGAAATGGCTAGGAAGCTGTGCTCTTCTGAGATGTTGGGGTCATTACTGCTGGAAGTCTTCCCTTCCAGCCTGGAGCCAGGAGAGACTGGGGCCTTCCAGGAGTCAGGATCTGAGGCTTTTCCTATAGTGCAGGGACTGAAGGTAAAGAAGAAAGAAGTGGTGGTGAAACAGGGGTGCGGCTAGAGGTGGTAGGAATGTTAGGGGAAGCTTCCAGTTTTCCTTAGTGCTGGATGAGGACTGGGCAGGGTTGAGCATCCTGTTCTGCAAGGAAAGGGACCATTTCCATGCCAGATGCTCTGAGGGCTGAACAAGAGGTTAGATTAAAATTAATGTGAGTGGGGCAGAAGGGCTTCCTGCAGAAGAACAGGGAGGTGAGGACTTTGTGTGAGTCTGGGGAGATCCTAACTCTGAAGGACTTTAGAATAAGAGAGGCCCCTGCCAGGCCAGGAAGTACGGTGTGTATGTGGGAGAAAGGGGTTATTTGATTTCAAGAGGGTGCAATTAGTTCAGCACCTGGATCCTTTCAGCTGCCTGAGTCCAGGTCCTCTTCTTGGCCTGTGCATTTGTGAAATTTATTCTTTAGTCTTTCCCTCCTTACCCCTTCCTTTTGGTGTCTGGATCATGTTTGATTCAGATTTCAACAGAAGCTATCCAAGAGCTCCTGGACAAGATCTAGAGGTGGGGGAAGGAGGAGCTTGGAGGGAGGCATGTGTTGAATGAAAGTCAACCTACCGCCTTACTCTTTTCTTCAGGCTTGCCAGTAGCATTTCGGGAATCCTGGCTCAGAAATCTCAGTTGTGAGCTCTGGGAGATAGCCTCACACCTGATTCATCTTCCCCCTCCCTTTTATTTACTCTATGAACTTTTACTAAGCACATTCTGTGTGCTCTGAGGATGGAGGCCAAGATAAACAAGTTAGCACCATCAAGACACTCACAGTCTCCTATGGGCCGATTGTCACAAACAGTTAATTAAGGTTGGACTGATTGAGACTGAAGAAGCTGTGGGTTCCGGCCTCTCTCCAAGCTGATTATATGACTGGGCTTGTTCCACCCTAACGCCTTTGCTGTTTGGGGACACAGGTTCCATTAGCTTGAATTGTAGGCCTTTCCCACCTGCCTGAGATTGACAAGTTGTGTGACCTCAGACAAATCGCTTAACTTCCTTCCTAAGGTGGTTGTGCAATTGTCAAGGAAAGATCGTGGTCGTGATCATTATCATTCTCCCATTTCCTGTTAGGAGGCTTCCTAATTACCAGCCTCCATCCAAACTAGACTCACTCTTCTCTATCTGGACTCGGGAGAGAGAAGGCACCTGTTGGATTTGAAGGAAGTATGGTATGAGCTGGGTAGGATGATGTTGGTCAGGTAATTCCTCTTCCAATCTATTTATGGAGACCCCTCGTGTGTGCCAGGCCTTTTGCATATGTTATTTCATTTAATCCTCTTATTCACAGCCCTGTGAGACTGGTCTGTCATCATCCTCACTGTTTTACAGATGAGGAAATTGAATCTCTAAAGGTTCTCAGACTTTAGTGTACATTAGAATCATCTGGGGTGTGTGTCTGTTGAAAATGCAGATCCCTGGACTGTACCGCCAGAAATTCTGGTTCAGCAGGTGTGGAGTGAGACCTAGAATCTATATTTTTAACATGTATCCAAGATGATTCTGATGCTGGTGGTCTATAGGCCACATTTTAATAAATACTGATTAAGAATTAGTGAGTTGCCCAAGGGCTTACAGCAGGAAGTGATAGCTTTGAACCCTGGACTTCTGCCTCCTAGACCCCTCTGTGGCTTGGTACACCTCCGGAGCCATAGCTGCCTCCTGAGCCTTGGTTTCTGCTTTTGTAAATGGAAACAGCAATTCCTTCCCCTCCTCCCTCCCTCATAGGCCTATTGTGAGGATAAAATGAGATAATGTAGGAGAAAGTGCTTTTTAAAATGTAGAGCTGGCAGCATTGTTAGCAGTTATGCAAATACATGCAAATGAGCATCCGTGGGTGTGGCTGTTCACTTTGGGAAACTCTGCTGGGTTGTGAGTTTCAAGAGTTGAGTCCAGATAGAAACTGGAAGAACTTTGGTGATTTGCATTGACCCCTGGGGGAAGAGTTTTTGGTTGTAATAAGAGCTGAATGAAGCAGAAGGCTAGGGTGGGGCTCTGGGGAGACATGAGACCATAGGTAGGAGAAGAGGCCTTTCTTTCTTTCTGGGTTGTGTGTCCTCAGAGTCTAGAGCCCTGGCCAATGGGACTGATCAGGAGAGGGAAGCCCTGGTTTGTGGCTGGGTCCTGCATGCGGAGCGTGCCTCTTTGTTCTGAAATCTCCGTGTGGGTACTCTGGGAGATACTGGCTCCTGGCCCCTTTCCAGCTCATTTGGCTGGGAAAGACTTTTATGATGTGTTGCCTCTATTCCTCCTCCCTAATGAAGCCGGAGCTGGGGCTGAGCTTTGCTAAAACTGTGCTCCTCTTTCTTGTTAAACAACCTGCTGTTTCCACACGGAGACAGTACAGCAGGAAGGCTGGAAGTGAGATTTGAAGATAGCCCACCAAGGAGGCTGCAGTGCCATCTTCTGACTTCTTTGCCACTTTCCCTTCTGCCCCATTTGCTCTCTGACCTGTCAGCCAGGACTGCTGGGCCCTGAGGTGAGAGTTGGCTTGTGATGCTTCCTGGCACTGGCTATTTTGGGCACCCCTATTCCAAAGCTGCGGAGACCCTGGGATTCTAGAGCTGTTTCTGTTCAGGAACACCATTGTTCTCCCTCCCCCGGCATCCCTCAGAATTGATGCTAATTCCAGTCTCTAGTTCCTGACTCATTCTCTTTTCCTCCCTGACTCATAGGATGACCTTGGGTTTCCAAATCCCCTCTTTGAGGGGAATTGTGATGGCCAGCTTTTTATCCCTGTGTTGGCTTTAGATGGGGTGGGGCAGGGCTAGGGGAAGAGAGAAAGGAATGTTTAATCGCTTTCTTTAAAATCACTGTCTAAAGTCAGAGAGCTTTGTTTGCTTGGTGACTGCCTGGGCTGGACTCACCAGACTTCTGAGAAGCCTCCCAGTTAATCACTGACCCCCAGAATTCATAAGTGTAAAACAGGAGGGGATTGTCCCTTGAGGCAAAACATCCAGCAAGTGAGATCCCTGGCCCCACCCCACGGATTTTGCACTGGGGAAAGCTTTGGCAGGGACAGAGGCAGGGGGTGGGTACAGTAACTCTGCCAGAGGTTCCCTCTGGTGCAGGACTGGGGAGGCAGGGGTTAATGCGGCTTTGTCCTGGTTGATGGATTCTGGAATCATAATCCATTAGCTCTGCCTGCATGGAGTGAGGCCAGGCAGAAGCCTTCAGATTGGTCTTTGTTCTGTACTTTTGCCATCCCGCCAGGGATAGAGGGGCTCTGGGCATGTTCTCCCCCCTCACCCCCCACCCAGCCAAGAGACAATGAAAGAATCTTGGGGGCTATTTTGATAGCTGCTGATCCCAAGCCTTCTCTTATAGTGGAAATAAGCAGTTTTAGTTCTTGGTTATTCAGACTATGAAACAGAACAACTCCAAAACATCACCTGCCTAATTCTGCTGGGGCCTGGCCGTTTAAACAAGAGTTTGCAGGAAACACTGGCTAAAGGAGGGGTGTTGAGAGGTCAGATGGTGGGTGAGGATGATAGAGTCAGGAATGTCTGGCATTAAACTTTAGGGGTAGATACACCTAATACAGGCAATAGCCTGAGATAAAAATAGATTAGCTGCTATTATTATTAATGTTAGAATTATTTACTCTATGGAAGACTGAAGACGTTTCTGTAAAATGGACCCGTTAGAGGGTGTCCTGTTCTCACGACAAGGCAGCAGTGCCTAAGCAGGATATCTGTACCCATTCTCTATAGGCTGCGCTACATGGTGAAGCAGTTGGAGAATGGGGAGGTAAACATCGAGGAACTGAAGAAAAACCTGGAGTACACAGCTTCTCTACTGGAGGCAGTCTATATAGATGAGACACGGTGAGAGAGAGACCTACAACTATCAGATAGGCACAGTGTTCCAGAGACAGGGAGTAAGACAGAAAGCTGGAGATAGGGACGTGTGACAGGGACAGGAAGAAAGGGAGGGGCTGGGGCTGATATAAAAAGCTCTAGGAAATACTGGCAGAGATAAAGGGGCAGAGGAACAGACAGAGAGATGCAGCAACAGACAAACACAGATACCAAGAAGGAGAGAAGAGAGTTTCAGAGTCAGAAGAGACCTTAAAGCTCTTCTAATCCTGACCTTCCCAGTGTGGAATCCTTCTAGATCTGCACTGCCCAACATGGGAGCTACTGATTATAGGTGGCTATTGGGCGCTTGAAACATGGCGAGTACGAATCGAGATGTGTACATAAGATACATGCTGGATTTTAAAGATTTAGAAAAAAGAATGTAAAATAGCTCATTAATATATTTTATATTGATTCCATGTTGAAATGATAATATTTTGGAGGTATTAGGTTAAATAAAATTTATCATTAAAATAAATTTCACCTATTTCTTTTTATTTTTTTTTTTGAAACAGAGTCTTGCTTTTGTTGCCTGGGCTAGAGTGAGTGCCGTGGCGTCAGCCTAGCTCACAGCAACCTCAAACTCCTGGACTCAAGCAATCCTTCTGCCTCAGCCTCCTGAGTAGCTGGGACTACAGGCATGCGCCACCATGCCCGACTAATTTTTTCTATATATATATTTTTAGTTGTCCAGATAATTTCTTTCTAGTTTTAGTAGAGACGGAGTCTCGCTCTTGCTCAGGCTGGTCTCGAACTCCTGACCTCGAGCGACCCACCCGCCTCGGCCTCCCAGAGTGCTAGGATTATAGGTGTGAGCCACCGCGCCCGGCCTCTTTTTACCTTTTTAATGTGGCTACTAGACAATTTAAAATTTCATGTGCACGTGGCTTGCATTTTATTTCTATTGGACAGTGCTGCTGTAGAACATCCCTGAAAGATGGTATTCCATTGCCCGCTTGAACACTTCTGTAGTTGGGATGCTCACTACCTCACATGGTGACCTGTTTCAATGTTATTGGAGATGTTAGGTAGAGATACAGAATTAAAAAGATACAGGAAAAGAAAGGGAGGGTTGGAGACAGCTGACATGACTGTTAGTGAGTGTGGGGTGTGGCTGGGTGCAGGGTCTCTGGGCTGTGGAAGAACCTGCCATCTTTCCTCTGTGACTCCCCTTCTGGGGTCTCAGGCACATCTTGGACACGGAGGATGAACTGCAGGAGCTGCGGTCAGATGCTGTGCCTTCAGAGGTGCGGGACTGGCTGGCCTCCACCTTCACCCAGCAGGCCCGGGCCAAAGGCCGCCGAGCAGAGGAGAAGCCCAAGTTCCGGAGCATCGTGCACGCTGTGCAGGCTGGGATCTTTGTGGAACGGTGAGGTTTGCCTACACTCGGCCTCCCTCTGCCTCTAGCTATGCTGCTCTTTCCCAGCCACCTGTTCTTCCATGACCCCACCAGCCATATGATCCCACGTGTCCATGGCTCATTCCCAGACCCCCATCTGGCCAGATTCCCCCCTCCCCAGACCTTTATACCTGGGCTTCTTGTCTTTATTCTCTCTTAGGATGTTCCGGAGAACATACACCTCTGTGGGCCCCACCTATTCCGCTGCAGTCCTCAACTGTCTCAAGGTGATCCCTGGGTTTTTGGGGAAGAGCAGGTTGGGGTATGGAGTAGACATTAGGACTTCTACACTCTGTTTGTGGCATAATTTTTGCCTTCCCTTTTAACCATTGTTCCCACATTTGTCAAAACAACTTTTGCCCACTCCATAGGCAAATCCCTGCCTTCTTGTCTCTCCCATACTGAGAGATGTCTGGGAAGAAAGAGGCCCACTTTACTACCTTGTTGTTTTCCTGCTTTCCAAGTCTCTGAATTCATTGGAAAGTCCTCCTTGAAGTCTAACTTCAATCCTTGCTGCTGCTGGAAAGTGACCTAGTCCATTGTTTCTCCACAGAACCTGGACCTCTGGTGCTTTGATGTCTTTTCCTTAAACCGAGCAGCAGATGACCACGCCCTGAGGACCATTGTTTTTGAGTTGCTGACTCGGCATAACCTCATCAGCCGCTTCAAGGTTGGGCAGCATTTCACCTCTGCCTCCAGGCAGGATTCTGCACTCCTCTCATTCTTGTTCTAAAAGATTCCCAGCAAGTAGATTCCATGGGCTCCCTCACCCTGTCTCACCACCAGGGAGGTCTCCCCGTGCCCACCCCCACTCTAGCCTTTCTTTCGATTGCTGCTGTCCCAGCCCCTGACTTCGCAGATTACTTTCCAGGGGAAGATTCTAGGCCTGCAGCTGTCTACCCTGGGACTCTGCTCTCTCTCCCTTTGCTTTTTTCCCCTAACTTGTCCTCTCCAGGCTGGCTTGCAGCTTGCCTCCCCTCTCAGCTGTTCTGCCTCCTGCCTGTGGACACCAGAGGCCTCGAGTCCAGATGCTGTCAGCGGTGCCCTTTGGGACTAGAGTCTCTGTGTTTGTTTCCTGTGGGGGGAGGCGGGACAAAATTGGCCACTTCCCTCACCACCCCCCACTCCAGCTTTAGTCTCTGTGCCAGGAATGTTACAGAGAGAATCAGCTCTGGACAGGGCTGGGAGGGGGTGTGAACCCCATTTGTTCTTCAGCTTGGCTGGTCAGAAGAATAATATGGGATTAAAGTCCTCTCCAGATCCTACGACAGGAGGGAGCGTCTTTTGGGAGGAAATAAGGCAGGAAAAAACACTGTCACATAAAAAAACACGTTTGGACGTGGAGGGTGAGGGGGGTTGAAGGGTTGCAACGGGGATGTCTGGTCAGTGCTGGGGGGCAGTAGGTGTTAGAGATGGGGGAGATGTGTGTTCTGAGGGGCTGAAGAGCGGGCAGTCAAAGGCATCTAGTTGAAGGTTCCCCACCCCAATTGGCTCTGGGAGGTCATTCCCCCCACCTTCTTCTCCCCTTCACTGTAACAGACAGTTTGCGTGTGAGCCTTTCCTCCGCCCTCGACGACTCCAGCGAATTCCAAGAGAGTATCCACAACTTTCCCTAGATGCTCGGTTGGGATTTTCTTCGGTGTCTTCCTGAGACCTGTCCTGTGCAGTTTCACTTTCTTCCTTCCGATCCTGCCCTCTCCAGGATGGAGGATAGCAGAGCCCTCTTTTTCCTAAGACTCTTCCCAGCTCGTGTTTCTCCAAACTGCTTCTCACATTTCAGACACCACCTTCTCCTAAACTCTACCTTCTTACCTGAAGGATTGAGTTGGGTTTGGCCCAGCCCCAGTCTGCACTGCTCCAAGGCAGTTAGAGGAAAAGGGGATGCTTATTGCTTTGGTGGTAGTGACCCCGGTGGGATCCGCCCTTCTCAAACATTCTCTTCCTGGGCACCTAGCCCCTCCCCTACTCCTCCCTTTCCCTTCTTTTCCCTCCAGGGACTCCATGGCAACGCAATAGCAAGGGCAGTTGTCATGGAAACAGTCCTTTAAAATTCCCTGAATTTGGGGCACAGCCCTCCAGGGGTGCGGGTGGGGGATGTTAGGGTCTGACTGACTAGTGGCACATCTTCTGTGACTCTTGTCACTCTGTTGCTCATCTCTACAGAAGCTTCCCTGAGTCCTCAACCTTGGGCCCCTCCCAGCCTCGGGAGATTCAGGGACAGGTGAAGACACCAGCCCTGCCCTCTGGGAGCCCTGGGCCTTTTGAAGGAGGCAGACATACTCCAAGAGCACACAGAGAGACAGGGACAGAATTGAGAGTAGCTGGACAGAGCTCGGGCTCCTGGTGCTTTGTGTGTGCGTGCGCTGTGGGACAGGGGTGTGGGGTATGTCAGTTTATGTGGAGGGAAAGTGGTTAGAAAAGGCTTCTCCGGGGAGAGCTGATCCGCATCTGTCTGGAAGGATCCTCTCTAGGTCATCTTATTCTTTCCCCTGCTTCTGAGCCCTTTTCCATGGTATTAGATTTGGGAATGGAGTTGGGGAGATTGGAAGGTAGGAGGGAAGCTTTCTTTCCTTTTCTTAAAAATCTCCAGGGAAATAATAATAATTGTAGCTATTCTTTAGAGAGCACTTGCTAAGTGCCCTGTACTTATCTCATTAAATTCCAGGTAGGTGGTATTATCTTTATTCTGCAATTACGTATCTGAGGCACAGAGAGGCATGTGACTTGCCCAAGGTCACATAGCCAGCAGGCGGTAGAGCTGGGATATGAGCCCAGACTCTCTCCTGATGCACTCTGCCCTCTGAAGAAAGGTGGGATTGCTGATCGCAGTCCTCAGTCGCTGCCTCAGTACATCTCGATTTCTTCCCACTTCCGCAGATTCCCACTGTGTTTTTGATGAGTTTTCTGGAGGCCTTGGAGACAGGTTATGGGAAGTACAAGAATCCTTACCACAACCAGATCCACGCAGCTGATGTCACCCAGACGGTCCACTGCTTCTTGCTCCGCACAGGGATGGTGGTAGGCACCCTGGAGATCACTCTTCTGTGATTCAGGGTCTATGGCTGCAGAACCAGAAGTCTAGACTGTGCTCCCATTTCCATTTTTCTCTCTTTAGTCCTTCTTTTTTGGCATCCCAAAGCCTTTATAGAGTCAAATTGGAGAATTCAAACTCTAGAGAAGTTTGGTGGACCAAAACTTCACGGGCAGTGCTGGGGACATGTGCTGGGATGCAGTGGGAATGTCGCAGGTTGGGATGGAGGAAGGTCCTTGGCCATTCCAGGAGCTGAGAAACCAAACCTGGCTGCCATAACCCAAGAGCTGACCTTGAAGAGTGGAAGGGACGGGCTTAAGTGGTCTAGCCTGTGGGTGGAGGTTCCTGGACAGTGACCGGCAGGGCTCAGCTTACTCTCAACCTCTGTCTCTTTCCGTTAGCACTGCCTGTCAGAGATTGAGGTCTTGGCCATCATCTTTGCTGCAGCCATCCATGACTATGAGCACACAGGCACCACCAACAGCTTCCACATCCAGACCAAGTGAGGGGTGGGGATGTGGCAGGGGCAGGAGGAGCCAAGTGGAGGTGGGGGCGGTTGCCAGAGCCGCTCCTTACAGGGGGCTGGACTTGATGCCCTTTGGTTTTGCAGGTCAGAATGTGCCATCCTGTACAATGATCGTTCAGTGCTGGAGAATCACCACATCAGCTCTGTTTTCCGAATAATGCAGGATGACGAGATGAACATTTTCATCAACCTCACCAAGGATGAGTTTGTGTGAGCAGAAGCCAGTATTTGGCATCTCTAAGAGACTCCCTTATCCCAGCCCCCTTTTCCCACTTCCTGGACCTCCTGTCCAGCAGTGCTGAGGGGACCGATCGCTTCTCTTTTTCTGTCCATTCAGAGAGTTGCGGGCCCTGGTCATCGAGATGGTGTTAGCCACAGACATGTCCTGCCATTTCCAGCAAGTGAAGTCCATGAAGACGGCCTTGCAGCAGCTGGAGAGGTGGCATCTGGTGGGGTGTGGCTGGGGCCGGGCCAGAGGGAGGAGTGCATGAGTTGGGGGTTGTACCCACGCGTAGCTAGGATGATCTTTACCTGGGCGTAGAGACTGCCCTCGCTCCAGGCATCTGAGTGTGTCTATGTGTAAGCGTGTGCGATGTGTGTGTGCGTGTGGTCACAGCCTAGGTGGCTGGTCCCCTGGAGAGCACTTTGGGCCAGGAGTCTGAGACGTGGGTTCTCACCGCAGCTTCAGGATAGGCTCACTCCAAACTGTTGGGAAATTCATCCAACCCTTTTCTACTCTGGTTTTGTTGTCTGTGAAATGGTGAAAATGGTATGCCTCCCTCCACAGCGGCTTGCCCCCAGTTCCTACTCTAACAGGGCTATTGGGAGAGTCATGTGAGGTAAAAAAAGAAAAAGAAAAAGCACAGAACAAACACCATAATTACATGTAACATTGCTTAAAAGTGGGCGGGAATATATAACTGTGTAGGTGAGACTGGTCTGTGTTCATGTGTGTATTAATCTCTGCGTACGACGCCTGTGTGTGGGAGAATGCAGTGTCACAGCGGGTCATTGCTGGGGGTATAACAACAATAATTATTATTATTATAAATAATATCTCCTGAGCACTTATTATGTGCCAGACACTTTCCTACATACTTACATGTTGTATGTCATTTAATTCTCAGAACAACTCAACATGTGGTAGAGTTGTTATTTCCATTTTAGGGTTGAAGAAAATGAAATATGGAAATTTTAAGGAACTTGCTCAGTGTCACACAGCTAGTGTGTGGTAGGTGTGGTGGGGATTTGAATCCAGGCCCTTTGATTCTAAGAGCCTGGGTTCTCAGCTACTAATCTGTGCTGCTACCCATAAACATGTGGGTGTATGTAGCCTCGGAGAGTGTTTGAAGCTGTGTGGAAGGACGTGCACCTATTGGTCTGAGAGAGGGCGTGTGATGGGAAGTTAGGAAATAGTCCAGGTTTCCTTCTCCTGAAAGATCAATCTCCCTTCCCTTGCCACCTGCCCCCAACCAGGATTGACAAGTCCAAGGCCCTGTCTCTACTGCTCCATGCTGCTGACATCAGCCACCCAACCAAGCAGTGGGCGGTCCACAGCCGCTGGACCAAGGCCCTCATGGAGGAATTCTTCCGCCAGGTAGCGTGGCATCTTTGCCCACTCTCTGCCCATGGGGCCTCCTCTCCCCTTTTGCTCTCCGTGTTCCCTGCTCCAACGCCAGATCTTCATTCAGCTACCCATAGCTTCTGACCTGATCCTAAATCTGTGGGATGAAATCTCATTATCTTAAAAGCTTAACAATAGCTGTATTCCATTTGCATATCACTCATTTCCAGGTCAAAGGCACAGAAATTCCTCACTTCCTTCAACTGCCCCCATCACCTCTAGCTGCACCCCAGATCTGGTAGGTCTGAGGTATCCTCCAACTTTCCCACCCTGTCCTTTCTCCCCCAGGGTGACAAGGAGGCAGAGCTGGGCCTGCCCTTTTCTCCTCTCTGTGACCGCACTTCCACTCTGGTGGCACAGTCCCAGATAGGTGAGTGTCCTTTCCTGCAGGGAGGAGAGGGCTGGGAAGGGGAAGGGATGCTATCTGGGCCTGGGCCAGGATTGCTCCAAGCCCCCAACCCTGCAAGCCATTCTTCCTGTAGAGGCAAGCCTGCTGTGCTAGAGCATGGTGTCCTGGGGTGGGAGGCCAGGGGGCTGCAATGGTAGGGAGGAGTTCTCTGGGGTCACCAAGACATCATCCCAAAGCCTATCCCCAGTGGGAAGTTTTCAGCCCCAGGTTACCTCTCCACCCTGTTTTACATGCAGCCAGGGGTCCCGGCCATACCCAGCCCTCCAGGTGACAGTAACACATCCCTGTTGTGTTGCTCCCTCTGCGACAGGTTTCATCGACTTCATCGTGGAGCCCACGTTCTCTGTGCTGACTGACGTGGCAGAGAAGAGTGTCCAGCCCCTATCGGATGAAGACTCCAAGTCTAAAAACCAGCCCAGGTGAGGGTGGCTGGGGGAGCCAGGTCCCCTGGTTCTGGGGGAGGGAAGCTGGACTCACAGACAGGACTGACTCACAGGGAGCAGGTGCAGCTGTGGTGGTGGTGGCAGGGTGGCAGGCTGCTTGTCACACAGTCAGGGGCAGAAGGATGGGATCAGAGGGGTGTGACCTGCACCTATGCTCCCCTCCGCCATATTTTTGTTTCTCCCTTTAGTTCTGTCTTTTTTGCCTTTTGGCTAAACTTGTTTGTCTTTTCCTTCTACTATGGAGAAGGTGTGGAGAGGGAGGGGTGAAATTAGGGGAGAAGGACAGGGACTTGAAGGGTGTCTAGTAGAGGGAGAAGAGGAGAAGGATGAGGCTCCCTGAACCTCTTCCTGGTCTTCCATCTCCTCCACTCCAAGGGCTGTGAAGGTGGCTCTGCAGTGGGCTGAGTCTCACCTCTGGGGGTGTGTGTGGGGGGGTCCTTCTCCTAGCTTCCAGTGGCGCCAGCCCTCTCTAGATGTGGAAGTGGGAGACCCCAACCCTGATGTGGTCAGCTTCCGTGCCACCTGGATCAAGTACATTCAGGAGAACAAGCAGAAATGGAAGGAACGGGCTACAAGTGGTGCGTGCCATTGGCGGGTGGGGAGAGCTGTGTGAGCGGCTAATGGAGCAGTAACAGGTCCATTTTTCTTAAGCCCCGGGAGCAACCCTTTGTTGGACTCCTAGAGTTGGGAATGGGACTGACCAGACTAATGTTAGATCACAGGAAAGACTGGCTGGCTGAATGGGCTGGACTTTTCTAGAATGGGGGCTGGATAGACAATAGATAGGGACAGCCATAATATTCCACAACCCAGGGGACTCCATGCACATTGTGGTCTCTGCCAATGGTGCCCCTGGAGGTTTGGGTAACTTGGTGGCCCTCGCTAGGAAATGTCTTCCTTTATGGGGGAGTGGAGGTTGTGAGTTTTAGCAAAGCCAGAGAGGCTCTTCCCAAGCGGGGATGGGTTGAATGTCGCTGAGTTGAAGGCAGGGTGGTGGATGAGAATCCCTTACTTCTCTCCACAAACTTTTTGGGTCCTGGGGAAAAATTCTTCTTGGTCTAAGCTCAACTTTATGTTCCTCTGTAGGCATCACCAACCAGATGTCCATTGACGAGCTGTCCCCCTGTGAAGAAGAGGCCCCGCCCTCACCTGCCGACGACGAACACAACCAGAATGGGAATCTGGACTAGCCCCGGGCCTGGCCCAGGTGGGCCTGCTGTGGAGGGAGTCGGGGGAGCTGGGCATGCGATGTAGCCTCTGGGATGGGCCATCTCTGGGGTCCAGTGGACGTGAGGTTCTCCCTCCCTCTTTCCAGGCAGTAAAACGGAGGAAGTAGAGACAGAATTGAACTAGGGTGTGGGTGGGCAGGGAAGTCTCCCACCCTCTCCTGTCCTACAGCCCCAGCAGGAAGAAAGGAGGCAGCTTCTCAGAGTGCAGGGTGGGGCCTGCGCCAGGCTGCAGCTGGCCGGTGCAGCACCTGGCTGAGGGTGAGGGCGGAGCAGCCCAGCCAACGCACAGGGCTCCGTGAGGTCTGTTGAACGTGACTTCGATTTCAGCCCCCACTCACACTCTTAGCTGGTCACCCTTCGAAGGGCATTTTTTTGCACAACTATACTCAGGGCTGAGTGGGGACTGGGCCTTGGAGAGGGACGGTCAGGCGGAGACGAAGGCAGAGGTCGGAGCACTGAGGTTTCTCTTTCCCCAGGTCCTCATTGAGCCCAGTGTTCGACATCATCAGCACCATCCATCAGGACTGGCTCCCCCGTCTGCTCCAAGGGAGCATGGAGGTTGTGGAAGAGAAAACCCACCCGAAGGCCACATGCCAGAGATTGTGGGGTTGGGGGAAGGGCCCCTCCCCACCTGACACCCACTGGGGCATACATTAATGTCCCGGCAGCAAGACTGGGGAACATCAGGCTCCCAGTGGTCACTGTGTCCCTCCCCCAGCCTCTGGGCTCTCCCCATGGCCAGGTGGCTGCCTGGGAGGGGAGAGCTTCATGGGGCTTCCCAGGGCCTGGGGGGGGAGGGTCAGAGATGCCAGCCCCTTTGGCCCTCCCCTGTCCTATTTGCCTCCAAGTTTCTAAGCAATACATTTTGGGGGTTCCCTCAGTCCCCCACCCCAGATCTTAGCTGGCAGGTCTGGGTGCCCCTGCTCCTCCCCTGGGAAGGGCTGGAACAGGATAGAAAGCCAGGATTTTCAGAGCCCTGTATGTGGGGAGGGACTGGAGTGGGCTCCTTCAGGGCATGGTACCTTCCAGGACCTGGGAACAGGGAGGTGTCCTCTTCACCCCAGACTCACACTGCTTCAGCCCATTCTCAGCCCGACCCCCGCAATCTTCCCTCCCTCCCACTCTGAAACAGTGACTGGGGGAAAAGAGGAGCCATTGGGACCAGGGGCTGAGGGGAGGCCTTTCCTGAAGCCCTCAAGAACTCGGGACTGGTCTGGGCCCCTGGGGCTTGTCACTTGCCCTGGCTGAGTCCCCCAAGCTCTTTACCTCCCTCTGCTCCCCTGGGGCTGGGAGGCTCCCATCCGACCAATGTCTGTAAAGTGCTTTGAGATCTCCCCAGCAAAGCACCTTCAGGATGTATCTTATCAGCACAGGCAGGAGAGACCAGCCGGGTTGGGGTCAAGGCTGCGTGGGGAGGGTAAGGTATAATCCAGGAATCCTGTGTTGCCAACAGAGAGGGTCCATTCCCTCCCTCCGTCTCTCAGAACTGGCCCGGCTGCAGGCACGGAGAGGCCCCTCCCCTGGGACAAGTAGGGAGTGGTGGGTGAACGGCAGATGGAGGAGGGGCTCAGGGCTGCCGCTGTCATGGCCTCTGGAGAGAGCCCGGCCAGGCCTGGTGCCCCTTCCTCTCCTTGGCCTCCTCCTTGCTCCCACCTTGCCCCAGGAAAGGCCACAGTCCAGGTGACTGCCCTTCTCCTTCCTTGTAAATACCAACCATCCATTTGTACAGTGGGCCCTGTTCATGTGAAATCCACATCCATGGTCTCTTAGACCTGCCACCCTGATACCTGTCCTCCCACCCCACCCCTAGTGGGGCAGAGACGCATGTGACTCACCCCTGCCCATGGTCTCCCAGACCCCTGCTATAGCCAGAGATCAATAAAGAAGAGAGACCTGGCCTGGCTGTTTGGTGTTCACTGGGTGGATGTTGGCTGAGCATCTTCTCATACACTACCTTTTTAAGCTTGATGAAATCCGGGTAAGGTGTTCTCCCTATTTTATACCCACATTCATATTTACATAAATGTCTGAATGTGTATGTGGCCAAGCTGAGGCCCAGAGAGATGAGGCTTTGCCCAACGACACACAGCAGGTGCAGGGCAGAAGTGGGACCTGATACTTCTCAGGCTCTGCTCTTTTTTCTCCGCACCACACTGTGCTTCAGCAAGGAAGGGGAAGAATCTTGCCTTCCCTCCTTTCGTCTCTCCCCTCCACTACCTGGGAAAATCAAAAGCAGTGGCAGGACAGGCCTGGCTGTGGGATCTGAGGAAGTTTCTTCACTTATGCTTGATTTTGCTCTAATCTGGGCCCCTCAGTATCTAGAACAAGGGGAGAGATGACCCTTCTTGCTCCCAGCAAAAGCCTCTTCATTAACAGCCACTGTGTTCTCTATCCGTCTTTGCTAACGGGTTGGAATAAGGGACGTGGTCTCAGAGCTGGAGGAGGGAACACATCCTGAAGCCTGGGAATCCAAAAGGAAGGCAGCTGAGGTTTGGAGGGCAGGCAAGGAGGCATCCACACAAACACCCTCTTTCCCATGGGCCAAGTGCCAGGGCGCAGTTCCTCCTTTGTCCAGCAGATGGCGCCCAAGCACAGTCACGGCTGGACGTGGCTCGGGCCTCAGTGCTCCGAATCTTCCAGGTGCAGGGCGCGCCTGCCAGGCGGTCAAATCGTTCCTCAATTAAAAAAGAACCCGGGGCTTTCCTTCCTTCTTGACACCCTGGAAATTAGTCCCTCCGCCTACTGTGGGAAGAGAGACCCCCATCTCTCTCCCCACAGCAAGTAAAGGCAGGGATAGAGGAACTCCTCCCTTCTCAGGGCTCCTTACTTCCTCCTTCCCGGAGGCGGCTGAGTGGGAGGGGAAGGGGCTGTGAAGAGCAGGACAAGAGGGAGGGAAAGGATTCTCTGAGTCATGAAAGAAGGAAAGTGCCGAAGAGCTAACAACAAATTTATCACTTTTTAAAAACAAAATTTCCCCAAAAGTGAAGAAATAAGAAACAGATCCAGTGTCCACGTATTCCCAGCTGCAGTCTTGATTCCAGGACACCTCTTCCTCTCTCAGACCTGTTGTGGGGGAAAGAGGCAGAAGGAGGTGAGAGGCCAGAGGGTGAGGGGTCATTCCGCCCCCTCCCCTGCGGACCATCCCATCTGTCAAGCACCTAACTTCTCAAGTGTGTTCTGATGTCTGATAACAGTGGCTGCCCCTTGTCCAGTCTATGCGGCAGAAGCGAGGATTGTAAAATCAAAGCTCAGGAAGTTATCAATGCATCCACCTCCAGGCAGGGAGGGACACTGCCCACCCAGCCTGGGCAGGTGAGGATCTCCTTTTGGATTCCAAATGCCTAAAGGCATTTGATAAAGTAAAAAAAAAATCCATGGCCCACTTCAATCACCCATCCCAGGAGTCAGAAGTCCTACATAAAGTCTAACCTCAATCCTTCCTGCTGTAGCTTGATACCATTTCTCTTTGTCGGAGATGCAAGTTCTCTTACCATAAAGGATAACTTTTCAGTGACTCAAGCTGGTCCTTTGTTCCCCTTTTTCTGGGCTCCAAATATTAGCCCCTTACTCTTATCCACATATCTTGCTCTCCTGTAGACCTGGCAGCCCAGCCCTGGGGTCTTACCGAGTTGGTCCCCTGGGAATCCAATGGTAGTATATGGGCTGAGGGTTCCTCTGTGCTGGGCTTCTCACTGCCCCTCTCCTGAGTTTTAGGGATGGATTTTGCAGGCTCTAAGGAGGGAAAATGGGTGGTGGAAGAGGTAGCATTTATAAAGGCCTTGGAGAGAAGGGATTGCTTTTGCTTACTACATCCCATACCCCAGTGGCCCCTGACAGGGGCCCAGGACTCAGTCGGGTGCAATCGGGCAAGACCAACAGGGTTTTTTTTCTCTGTTCATGATTACTACTATAGGTTCACCATTTTTTATTTGCAATCAGAAAAAAAAAAAAAAAAAGAAAGAATAACCTCTTCTACAAAAGTTAAACAAAACTTGGGTATAAACTCAATGTGTAGCTAAACCTGACTTGAACTGCTAGGAGGCTATTTTTAGTTTTTATTATTTATCTCCTTTAGTGAGACCATTTATTGGATTGCAGAAATATTAATGTGTTTGATTATAAGGTACTGTGCTGGGGCTATTCCATAATATATAAGATATATACTATATCACCTTCATAATACTGGAAACATTTTGAATTCTAGAATACATTTAGGGTAAGAGACTGTGAACATGTATTAAGACCACTGCCACCAGCTTCCATTTGTTGTATACTTTGTATATGTCAGGTGCTGTGCTAAGAAACAGTCTCGTTTAATATTCACAAACAACCCAAGGAAGTAGGCACCATCCTTATAATTTCATAGACTGAGGTTAAGTAAGTTGCTCAAGGCCTCTTGGCTGGTAAAGTGACAAGATTCTAGCCCATGAATGCTGTTGCCTTTAAGGTAGGTTCCCCCAGGCAGCCTCAACAGGGATCTTTGAGGTCTGAGTTGGGAGGGCTTGGTTGTTCAGTAAGGAAAGGGAAAGATTCAAATATCTGCAAAACATGCAAATATATCCATATCCTTGAGATAGATTTTGGCTACTGCTAGACCTCTCCCAGGCTCCAGCACTTTCTCCCTCTCCCCAGTAGATAAGGCTTGCCTCCTGCTGGGCTGGGAAGCAGGATGCCTGGGGCCCTCCCCAGCGTGAACATACTTTGTGCTGTCCCAGAGGTGCCCAGCCTTGACTCCGCTCCTGCGCCTGTGATCCCAGGTGGGCAGGACTCCTGGGTCCCTGTGCTCTCCGCAGCTCCCTCAGGCTCCTCCCCTTGTTCCTGTTGCCCCAGGTGATGTTCAACCATCATCTGGAGCTCTGGGGGCACAGAGAAAGGGAGGGAACACTGGACATGACTGCCTAGAGTCTCCCCTGTGGATTCCCAAATCCAAAGCCCCACTAAAGTGTTCAGCTCGCATTTCGCATTTCGGGTGTTTGACTTTCCCATCCACTGAGATCTGAACCAGGAGGGGACATTAGCTGGCCAATAAGGATGGAGGAAAGCTAGACCATAAACAGTACTTCCTTCACAGGTAAGGGATGGGGTAGGGGAAGAGCCTTTAAGAACAAAAGATACTCATAGCTTGCTGGGATACGTGGTTTACATGGTTTCCCCTGGGGGCAGGAGGGAAGACTCAATGTAGATTCAAGAACTATTTGAGTACCTTCTTACGTGTTGTGCATTGTGCTGATGAGCTCACACATTTTATTTAATCTGGCATAGTGAGGTAGTACTCAAGGCTCAGTAGGTTAAGCAGTTTCTCCAAGGCCACTGAGCTCGTCACTGGCAGTGCGGGGATTCTGGCCTCAGGTGTCTAGCAACAGCCCCACTATGATAAAGGCAGATTCAATCACCTCCCTTCTAAAGGGGTCATTAGGTCTTCTCCCCGGCAGGCACAGAGGAGAAAAAACGGATGGGAAGGGTCTTCCGCACCTTTCATTGTGGGTGTGATCCTTGTCATCTTCTTCCGTTGCCGTGGAGACATTGCCAAAGTGGACTGCGAAGGACACAGAGCACAGATGGGTGCCAGCCCCCTTGCCCTCCTCCTCTGCCTTGCTGTGCTTTTGCACCGGAGCTTGGGGGCAGGTGTGAGCTTCCAAAGGTGGGGGAATAAAATTCCTGCTTCCCTAGCCACCTCCACAACGGTGAGCAAGAAGACTGAGGGGGTGCATGTATGGGGGGCATGTGATCCACTCATGCACATTTGCAGGGGTGCAGGGAAGAGGCAGTTAGAAGATCCTAGAGATGGAAGGAAGGGTTTTGGGGAGAAATCGCCTAATGAATCTGTGGGTTCTCTGGGTGAGGCTGAGTGGGAGGGACAAGCTCACCTTGAGAAGTGGGTTAGGGATCCGGTCTTCATCTACTTCTGAGGGGAACAGGGAAAGGAGAAGGTGATCAGGACAGGAAATCCAGGGTCCTCAGAGAGCTGACTTCCCAGGCGAGGAGACTCCATGATCACCTCCTTCCTGATCTGTCCCTTACATCCGCCCCAAGGCATTTGGCCCTGATGGCTGCCCTGGACCTACTCCCCTTGCTCTGCTGGCTGCCTCTGTCCCCTACACCTAGTCCTGGCCTTGACTCTGCTGTCTACATCCTTGCCTCAGAGCTGGTGGTCCCCAAAGGCAGGGTTTGTGGTCTTTTTGCTTCCTTTGTCCCTCTGAAGCATCCATGTCTTTCTCTTTCCAATTTCCCCACCCCAGGGCCAGCCAGAACTGAGCCGTGCATAGGAGGGAACACTGACAAAGAACAGGAAATTGATTCTGTGCAGGGTCCAGGAAGGTACAATAATTTTCGGTAGTTGGAGGAAAGCTGGAGACCCAGGCCCTTGAATTCCAGTCTAGCTATCAGCCTGACTGCCTCTCCTCCACTCCCGGGCAAGCTTCCCTGACATTCCCCGGGACCTTGCTCTCTCCCTAGACCTTGATGGGGATGCTGGTGACCAGAATCCCAGCTGCTCCCTGAGCTGTTTCTAACCTTCCCTCCCCTCTGGGGGCTGTGCAGACAGCTGATGGAGGCAGTCCCTCCCCCTCACAGCTGACACTGCCTCTGGGGGTGGGGGCAGCAGCATCCCAGTTGCTGGAGGAACCTGAAAGGCTGTTGCCGCAGCAACCAGCACTCAGTTGACCAACCCAATTCCTGGGGGGCTTAGGAGCCAGGTGGTCTCCCTCCCCTTCCTAGCACTGTTCCATCTTTCTAAAAGCGAAGGAAATCCTGCTCATCCAGGCCACTTTCCTGCTGGGGACTGAGGGGATCCCTGCGTCCTCGGATCTGCCCTTCCATCTAGCACCATCTTCTCTCACTGGGACCCAGCTGTCGGCGGCGGCCCCCACTCCCTTCAGCAGCCCACCCTTCGGGTTA